ATGCTAATTTCATATGAAAATTAACACACAGTATCATCATACCTTTACACTCCAACTCTGTTAAAGGCAAACCAGAGTTGGACATAGTCAGAATCTACATTTAAATAATATTTGATTAATCGAACTAGTACTTAGCCAACAAGGAGATAAGAAGATCTCTCTGTAACAAGGGATATGAATTCACTGATGAGCTAAGGTGATTCTAGCAATTTATTTTCCATGGTATTTTAGCACTTTTTTTTTTTTTTTAAAGGAGAGGAGGGTGGAGTATTGCACCTCTGAGGTATGTTTTCAAATCAAACTATATATTTAATGTGATTATGAAGTCTGAGTGAGTGTTTGCGTTCAAGAGATATGTGGGAGCACAGAACTACAGTAACAATTCAAAGGAAAGAGGTTCAACTTTTCTTAGTTAGGCTATAGAATTTTCTATATCGCACTGCTCCCATGCCAGATCTCTTGTGGACCTAAGCGATTTTGAGAAGTTTTCCTAATGTTTTAAATCATATTTTTAAGAAGACTGCCTGCCTGCAATTTGTGTTTCATTTACTGCTCATTGTTCCGGTGTCATTATCAGTTTTTACACAACACAAATACACACACACACACAGACACAAAGAAAAACACTCTTAGAAAGAGCCAGATAGCTTCCCATTAACATTGAACTTACAGTTTAAAATGTGATCATAAAAATATACACTTCTATTATAAAGGCAAAATTGGAATGTGTTTTCATTTTCTTCAATGCGTTGCAACTTCCCATGTACAAAGTCCAGAGGCATTTGGATCTAGAACTTCATTATGATCTATAAAGAGACAGACAATGACAGCAAAAACTCTTTATCTTATTTGTGTTCCCCAAAATTAAGAAATTATTAATCTCAGCTTTTATTTTTGCTTTTTTTTTTTTTTTCTTTTTACACACACAAACTATACAAAGGTTTTTCATATGTGCAAAGAACCATAAAGGAGTGAGGGGGAAAAAAACCCAACAAATCTGTAATGCATTAATAAGCTTTCAATAAATTAGGCACTGACCGCTGAGATACAGATTTCTAAGTGATGTAGGAATTACCCTAATTCTGCAACAGTTTGTGCTCTTGCATCCTTCTTCAGAGACCTCATAGCTGCTCAATACTTTTATCCTGCAGCTACTTTATCTCTGCTGAGCTCACTGTCACTGTTTGCAGTGACTAAAAGCTGGGTAGACTCAATGAAATGAACAGAACTCTTGCAACTGCTTTAAGTCTGCAGTATGATTAATTTAATCGCTTGCAACTTTATTCTTTTCCTTAGAAAGGAAACAGCTAATAATTTATTATACCATTTTGCCAAGAAGCAGATGGATTAAGTCTTCCCCGCCTCTTCTAGAAAGTTAAGGTTTTAATAAGATTGTTGCAGTTTCTTTTCTTTCTAGGGAGGGAAAGAAAATTAGCAGGCCATAGTCTGGGGAAGGAAAGTCCTTCTCTTGACAAAAGGAAAAGGAGTTTTTCCAAATTCACAGTCCCCCTTCATGGCTTATTGGAACAATCCTTCAAGGACAGAAGTACAATGAACCCCTAGCAAAAGAGGGAAAAAGAGAAAGGGGAAAAAGGAAAAAAAAAAAAGGAAAAGGAAAAACAAAAAGGAGAAAAAAAAATCAAAGACAAAGACACAGAGACATTACCTTTACATTTCCCCTTGTGTAAGCTGCTCACTGGGGAATTCATTGAGAACTGATGCTGTCAGCACACTAAGAGAGCACAGCAATGCAAAGGAAAGGAACAGCAGTTAAACTACCAGACAAATACGGTTTCCTCTCTCCTTTCCAAGGACTTCTTGTCACCATCGCTATCATTCAGAGAAAACTCGTTCAGCTCCTCTCTGTCATTCCTTAGCGCTGGAGCAAATTGTCAAGCAGGTGTCACTGTTGTGTCACACCTTGTTCTCACCCTTCAGCAGCTGAGGCTGCTCACCAGCAGCTGCTCCTGATGGCATTTATACAAAGCAGAAACTTTTTGCTCTTCTTTTGAAAAGAAGAAATAACCTGCAGGTTATTGTCATAACTGAGTAACAAATGGTTATTGCTTCCATGACCTAATTTTAGTCACACAGTTTTATTTAGACTGATAATTCTTCCTCTTTTGTGTGTAGGTGCCTAGATAATGCAAGCCTGAACCAGGACAAGGTTTGCTTCTAGGCATGATTTCTATGTTGATAATTACTAATTTGAGTTGCCTTTTTCCCCACCCAGGATATGTATCTCTGCCCATAAGCTGTAAACTTGTGCTTGATGGCACTGCTGTTTTGTGTGCTTAATAATTACTTAGTAAATCATGGGAGTTCCCAGATCTGTGTGTTTACTGCTTGCACAGTCTAGGAACAGGCAGGCTACCTCTTTGATTTCTTTCCAGGAAGATTTCTCGCCCTTCAAGTGGCTACAAGTAAGTCAACACCATATACCTCCAGATGTTTTCATAAGCAATGCTTTGGGACCTTTGAAGTGCAATACCTGGACGTAAACCATGATAAAAATGTGCATTGTACTTGGAAACAGATGTTATCAGGGGATCCTCTGCACCCAAATTAAGATGACTTTGAAACCCAAATCCATTTCTGCTACAGCTGACGGCTTTGGTGTTTCATAACTGGAAACTGCCAGTTCCACGTGGCCGGGCACAAGCTATTGGCACCAGCCATATCATTTACCAGATTCTGGATACAAACAAAGCTAGTGCCGGTGGCCTAAGCCTCCTGAGAGACGTGGGTGTAACAGTTTCACTGAACTAAAGAAGAATATACACTTATCTCACTTGAAACATAATTTCATTTGCAGTATGCTTCCTGATGCCTAATTTACAGCTCAGCAAAAAATGACAGAGAGGTAAGGAATTCACATTTAGGAAAGTTTAAAAAATGTATGCTTAAATCGGGGACTGCCTACCGAATCCTCTCCATTCGCTGCCTTTCTCTCTCCATTCCTGTACAGGCCCTCAGTTAAATATAATGGACTGAAAACTCTAGGGCTGAATGGGCCAAATGTTCTGGCAACCTAAGAGATTTGGTAGAATTATACCAGATTTATCCTGGTTTAACTGGCAGCAGAACTGGGCTGTTACAAAGAAAACTTAAGAAAACTGAAATGAGTACAGCTTGCGTGTTAGGGTGGCTAAGCAAATAATGAAAGTGACACCAAGTCAGACTCCACCTAGTCTGCCTACGAATTTTGGAGCTTTCAAAATGGTTATATAGCTTCATTTCAAGCAAACTATCTGATGAGGGGAAACAGGAGTAGGAAATAAAGTACTAAATTCAAACTGTGGCTGATTCTTTTACTTACACTAATGTGAATCTACTCCAGGCAAAAATCTGACATTTGTGACATAATGCAGGAAAGTATACTGGGAAAACTTACATATGACCTTTATAAGTAAATAAAGTATTTTAACTTATTGGCAGAAAAAGCAGGAAGCAAAAATTAACTGAACTAGAGCTTCTACTAGTTTGTACTTCAGGGATTGCTTTCAGTGCAGAATATTTCACAATATCCAGGGTACGGTGAAACGGATTTCAACCCAGTAGTGCAAAAAGGTATGAAAGAAAATACTCCCTTCTGCTTAGCCTCAGAAACATTTCCTAAACATTCTACTTCTGTGATAATCCATATGATTTTGTCCTTGTGTTATAATAAGAACAAATACAATATTGCTTACTGTTTGGATGGAATGACAAACAACACCAATTACCCAGAAATCCCTATGGGGGAGCATATGCTTTTTGTATGTATTTATTTCATTACAGAATAAGTTGGGGTACATAAAAAGTTTTACAGTGACCTTACCTCTATATACTTTTAAAATGAACTGTTAATACATCAGTTATACATGTAGTTCACCTGAATTGTGCACAGTGTCTGAAGCATTGGTATTAGTTAATCTGTGGTAAGTGGCAGCATCAACATTGTTACTTCATCATTTCACAAATTTGTCCAAGGTCTATCCACTAACATTAAGACTTAAAAGCAAAGCAGAAGACTGTTGCAAAAAGTAGCTTATTAAACGCTGTAGTTGTCTGAGATGTGTTCCAGGTGCAAAGTGGTAAAACTAATGAAATATTTTTTAAAAGCTGGGACTGTTTAAGAAACACTAGAAAAAGACTGATCATGTATTCATCACTGTCTCAAGCATTAACTTTGGCTTCCCTTCCCCTCTCTTGTTTGTTTCAGCTGAGTAGGTATTCTGTCTCCCAAGTTTCATCTTCCCTCCTCTCTTGTCCCTCACTCCCGTTTCTGCCCACTGAGTAGTTTATGAAACTCAAAGAGCCCCTGAAATATAACACTGGTTCCTAACACTGGTGGGTTCATTCCAGCAACTGTTAACATAGCATTCAAACCCAATGAAATTTCTGTGACTATGTATTTTGAATGCAGAATTTTACTCCCAGAGCTTGTGTGTCTATCTCTACTTTTAGTAGCAGTAATGTAGATTCAGAATAGTTCCAGTCATCTAGCAAATTTGTGGAACTATTATAAACACACATTACATTATTAAACAAACAAACAAACAAAAACATGTTGCTACAATATTACCTGGCATCATACTGGTAACAGCTATGTAGAGACTTTCTGTTCAATTTGAGTCTGGTGCACAGAATAACGGCAGACAAAAAAGAATTCATTAAATGTCTGTTACTATAACTACTCAACAGTACTACCATTTCCCTTTCCCGTGCTTTCTTAAGTGTCCCAAGAGTAACATCATTGAAAAAAGCCCAAAGAAAGAAAGATAATTCTGTCTAGATCCTCTTGGTTCTTTCAAGTAGAAAGCATTCAGTGTCAGCCCAGATACAAAGCAAATCACCCCAGTACCAATGTTACGCTCCACGATAATAAAGGGTAACACACCTATGAAGCAGTCAGTGGAATGGCTACTACAAAGCAGAAAAGCAATAGCCTGTTCATGAGCAACGCATAAGCAGGATATGACACTGAGAGCCAATCAAACAGCACAGGAGAGCCTCAGCTTTCATGTGAATAGTTTATTCTTTTATCCTCTGAAATTCTACCAAGTACTTATTTACAAGGATTTTTTTTTTTCCTTTTGCGTGTGTGGACAAAATTTACATCAGCTACTGCACCATTTTATTCATTAATAGGGTATGATTAGCATCCTTCCCATGTTTGCTTAACAGTGCCCATTTTGATCAAATAGGGTTATTCTTTAGCCAATTATTCCTTTGATTTGATTTCCAGGTGCAAAGAGAATTCGTACAAATGCCTTTGCTGCAATAGATATTCTTTTCATTGAACCAGTTAACAGATGGAAATAGTAAATTTCTCTCTGCTATTAGCATTTGCTAAGAGGGCCTGTTTTTTCTGTTCAAGCAGGGACTTGATGCAGTTTAGATGCAGTGATAGCTTTAGGCATTTCCATGTTAGGCACTGCAGGGCCTCTTTACCAAGGTTCACGCCCCTGAGAAGAACCCAAACTTCATGCTTAGCCGCCCAGCACAATACATGCAGTCAGTCACCTCAGACAGGCACAGCAAAAAATAGAGTCTGGAAAGCTCTCTAAAGAAGGAAACTTGCACAACTGCACTGACATCTGATGCAAACGCACCTTTACACATGCAGGAGCTAGAGCCTGGAATTTACCTGGAACTGAGATTGCAGGAGCCTATGTGTGTTTTTGAAAGATTTGCATGAGCTTTTTCCTTAAAAATGGGCTATAGGGGGTGGTTCCTTTGCTCTTCTTCCAAAGTCATCTAGAGTTAAGAATACATACACATGAAGTGGGAGGCCCGAGTTCAGTCCCTACGCAGCTCAAGGAAATTCAAACCTATGTCCCTTAGCAGATGACCTTAACAGGAGTATTCTAGGGAGGAAGAAGAAAAACAAATTAGGCTCTTTCATTTCCTGTTAAAAATAAGAGAAGGGAACTGCAAGACTAATGGAGAAGAAAGACAGCAAGGAGTATGTCTCTCCAACTAGCCTCAGATCACTCAGTGAAGATGAGGACTTGTATTCTGCTACCTGGATCATTGCTGAGATTTTTTAGCTAATGATTGTATAATACAAAATGCATACACATTTCAGAGATCGGGGATTAGCATCCAAAAATCCTCCAGTCCATTACCAATCAGATGGTGGGGGATGTGGATTGAATCCTTGCAGGCTGAGAAAGCAAGCATGCATCTCCCTCTTCCCATGCAAATACTCTAGCCTTCGGTCTATTACATAAAAGCAAAAGCAAAACATATGCAAATACCTTTTAAGGATGAGCGGGCACTTTAGTTTATGTCAGATAACATACTGAACCAGCGGCTTGGGGCATCACATCATGTAAACTTCAAAGAAGTTTAGGCAAGAGCCTGGTAGGTGCGTAACTGCTCAGACTGGAGCAGGTCTGAATGTGTGGAGAGGAACTACCTAGCACCTCTGCAGGTCAAAGGGATGGTACTTACTCAGTTTAACTTAAACTGGAGAGTTCTGGGGTGACTGTTTTGGTCCTCAATGCCTAAAATCTACTTAATCCTGTTTTTAGCACCTAATTACTTTTTTGGACCTGCGCTTTACTTGGAACAGTAAACTGGGGGGGGGAAGAGAGAGGGAGGACAATCCACAGCAAACCTGCCTCAGGCTTAGGAGGGAGGCAACAAAGGCCATAGAACAGGAAATCCAGCTAGAAATGCACTTCTGTTGTCAGTTGTCAAGCTGTGATTATGCAAAGAGCATATAAAGGAAATAGGTTTGATTGACAGCTACTAATGAAGACCAGATTCTGCTCTCACTTAGACTGTGTAAACAATGAAAGTGGGTAAGCACTTGATACAGCCTTTCCTAATGATATAAGCTAACAAAAATACCATCGCAGGTTTGCAGAAGTTTATTGTTGTAAAGATTATTTCCAAATATATTTCCTCACGATAAACAGCAACAAATATTGGAAGCAAGGAAAGATTTCATTCTTTCCTGAAAGTCTGTGGCATATTTTCGCAGCTTAAATCACAGCAACTTCCCAAAACTCATCTGGCAGCATTTTCATGCATTAGTAGGAATGAAAATGCAAAACTGGCTTGACTCCTCATTATACTGTAGTACAAAAAAATATACCACAAAATATTTTGAAATAAGAAATTGTACTGTAAGATAAGACAGACATTTCACTGTGTACCTCTTGTGTCTCTACTAAATCAAAATCCGGTTTAGTACTTATGCCTTGAGTTTAAGTATGCACCTAAGTGTTTTACTACAGAACTTTCTACAGTTTCATGAAAAATGACGCTGAAAGCAAATGCATCATTTTTCTTTCCTGCTCAAGCTACAACATTGTAACTTAATTAACAGTCAACAAGTCCAAGGATTCCTATCTGAGAATTAAGTTTATCATTCAGAAAATAAAAAATTAATTTCTTTGTGTATCCTCAACAAATATGCCATCTGTGGAACTAAATACTCCTGCACAACTCTGTACTCAGGCTAAGATAAACGTCACACTCTGCAGTCCTAGAGCTCCTATCTGGGTGACGCTTTCAATTAGCTCACTAGGGAGTAGGCTTACTTGGCTAAGAACTTTTAGGACTGGACCACTGTATTCTAGAGCATGGCTAATCAGACCAACTGTTTTAAAGCACTGCACAAGGTAGAAGGGAGAGAGGGGGGGAAAAAAAAACAAAGAACAAAAGGGAAGTAAAGAAATATTTATGAACTTAACTATTCTTTCTGTGAAGATGCTGTCCCTGAGGACAGAGCCTGCTGCCTTCTTTTGGAACTAGCAATAGGATATAAGAACGTTAATATTCTCTTTAACTGAAATATCTTAACAAAACATAAAAAGAACCGCTGTTCTTTGATGTAAGAACCCTATGTCTTTCCAGACTATGAATCTATACTAGAATTTTGAGTATAAACAATTCCCTTCCATAGTTTGTGCCAATTCCAGGCTGAATAACCAATAGTAAAAACACTGATTCTGTTTTAAGAAAAAGTTTCTCAGTGATTTACTGTAAAGCTAAAACATTTGCCTTGTCTTTTTTTTTTATATATATAAAACATGTGAAATAAATGCAAGTGCCCTTTTTAATATTGTATGTCTGTGTGGACAGTTTACTTTTCCAGTTCTGAGTAACTTGACAAAAAGTATGCTCCAACTTTCCACAGGCAGGCAGAACCTTTGTATCATTTCATCTTGTCAGGACGCTGCTCCATAAACAATATTCTCTAAAGTTTCAAAATCCAAATGATAGCATATGTCATCAGCATGTAGTACTGTAATTGCTGAGTACTTATTAATTACAGCAATCATTAGATCGAAATAAATAAAGCAATCTCTCAATCAAAAGATAGGGAAACAACATCATGCTAGAGTAGAATATCAATCAACATGTATAGCACATTCCTGTTTTCCATGTCCTCCTTTGACGGTCTTGCACTAAGTTGGAAAAGTCTCTTGCCACAGGATACTGAACACACAGTGAAACATTTACGCTGTCTGCAGTCAATTTCACAAAATTTACATTTGGTTTACGTTAATTTCGTTCACCTGCAGTTAATTAAAGAGCAGTTGAACTACAAAATTTTTCCCCCAACTCTAGTGGCATACATGGTGTCAGGTAAATCTGTTACAGTCTGAACAGCTTCAGTTCATTTTTGTCATAATTTAAAACCTCTGATAAAAAAAATAATAAAGCATTGTCTTTTCATACAGAAATCATTGCCTTTTTCAGATAAAGAACATATGAACATTTCATATCTGCTATAACTTGCCACATTTTAGAAAGGTAACTTGCCCTTTTTTTTTTAAATTCCAAATATCAACATGTGGCACACATTTGTGTTGCCTAAAACTTTTAAGTCAGGTATCTGTTAAATCATTCATTGCGGTTGAAATTCCTGGTACCACACAGTGTCATGTCTTCCTTAAAGAATCTATTGCACCAAAAATGAAAGGCTGGGATTCAGATGATCTTTCTATACTTTTCTAACATAGGAAACAATTGGCTTAACATAAAAACAACTTCAGTTAAGCTACATTGCCAGCAGTGCTTATCACTCAGTATTATCCAGCAGAGAAAACAAGTGGCAGAAAAGGCTCCTGCCTACATTGCAACTATGCGCATACACACAACCAACACTATCAGTAATGTCCTGTTACGACACTGTGGTCAGGAATTTTTAGAAATCCATGTGTAAAAAAGTTCTCCAAGGTTGGGAATTGGCACAAACATAATCCAGAGATGACCCTTTATAGCAGCTTTTCCTTTCATTTGCTTGGCTTTTCACACATAGCACAGCAAATGAGCAAAGAGTTACAACCACCAAGTGGCTCCAGACCAACATCTTGGGAGGGGAGAAGAGCCAAGGGGGAGACCCTTTTCTCTGTTGACATCCCAGAGAGGGTCCCCTCTGCGGTACGGAGTCTGTGGGTCCCTCAGAGCTACAATCCAGCTCCCTGCTTGGGAGGCACAAGCCAGGCTGGCCACCTCACATAGGGAGGGGGTCCTCCGGGTCCCCCACTTTGTCTGGCTTCTCGGGCAGGGTGAGCACAAAGGGGAGGAGGACACCCTTGGCATCTAAGGGAGCTTTGAGAAGCTCCCCGTCAAAGGTGCCCTTGAGCCCGCCATCCACTTCCACCTCGCCGTCCTGGGCCAGGCTGAAGCGGAGGGTGCCGGTCCGGTTGACGCAGTAGATGGTGTTGCCCAAGGCGGCACAGCGGAAGGGCTGGATGGGGCAGCTGCTGGGCCGCAGGCTGGCACACTGGCTCCAGCGCTTGGCCACTGTGTTGTAGCGGAAGACCTCAACGCCCCCGCCAGTCCCGCCGCCTGGGCCTTGCTCGCCCCCACGGCTGCTGTTCACATCGAAGCGGTAGATGAAGTTCTTGAAGGCCACCATATCAGCGGAGCGGCGGCGGCTGCTGTTGTAAGGGCACTCCTGCCACTCGTCACGCTTGGGGTCGTACTTGAGCAGGCGGTAGAAGAGGGACCCCCCCGACACGTAGATCTCCCCGTTGCAGGTGGTGGCCTCGTGGGCCACAGCAAAGGCGCCCTTGGGCAGGGGTGCCACAGGGCTCCAGCGGTCGGCCCGTGGGTCATACCTCTCCACGGTGAAGAGGCACTCACCGCCCACGGCGTACAGGTAGCCATCCAGGGCCAGGAGCTTCAGCTGCGAGCGGGGCTGGGCCAACGGGCGCACCTGGCTCCAGGTGTCAGTGAGAGGGTTGTAGCAGAAGACCTTGTCAGAGAGGCGGGCACGGGACTCGCCGCCTGCCGGCCCCGCCGCAATGCCCCCGGCCAGGAAGAGGTAGTTGTGGAGGGCGCACATGGCACAGCCCCTGGCGCTG